CCGTGGAGGAGCTACTGGGGGTCCGCCCGGCGGGGCTTGATGTCGCGGGTCTTCATGTAGGAGAGCAGCTGCTCGGGGATCTCGGCCAGCACATCCTTGGCCAGGCGGGCCATGCTCAGCACCTGGTTTCCCGAGTCGTCCACATAATCCCGAAATGGCACGAACTTTGGAGGAAAGAAGTTTTGGCCAAAAGAAGTTTGCAACCAGGTTGGAAACAACCCTGAAGCTGCAGTGAGCATCTCTTGCCTGTGGTGGGACCGGGCTCAATGCCAGTGTTACCTGTACAATGTCCCTCTCGGCATATCGTCCCCGGGAAGACACCCGTACCTCATCACCGTCCAGCTCCTCCATGGCTGGGGAGGCGACAACTGGTGTCACCAAGCCTCGGTGGGGTGGCCACCGGGGACAGAAACACCATCTCTCTCTCCAGGATGCCTTCAGTGGTATTTCCATCCCCCTTCTGTAGTGTCCTCAAGCCCAAACTCACCCTCAAATTCAGCTGGACCCACTCCCACGATGATGATAGACATGGGCAAGGCAGAAGCCTGTGGAGCAGAGGCAGGGTGGCAGCCAGGGCAGCACCCGGCATGGGATGAACTCACAGGGATGAGGGTGCACTCACAGTGACAATGGCTTCCTTGGTCTGCAGCATGTCAGAGATGACACCATCAGTGATGATGAGGAGGACGTGGTACTGCGAGCCATCTGTCACCTGGGCGGCCGCCCTATGGGGACAAGGGATGGGTCCAGCAGCCCCACTAGTGTGGGGCAGCCAGCCCTGCTGTGGGACTCATGGGATGGTAAAGAGGATATCCCCTGGTGCTCACCCGGCCACCTGGTTGATAACAGGGGCAAAGTTGGTGGGACCATAGAGCTGGACCGTGCGCAGGCTCTGGAGGTAGGACTCCAGCACACCCTCGATGCCAGCACAGTTGGGGTTGTCCACGTTGTTGTTCTGGGAGACAGGGACAGGTGCTTGGAGGGGGACCACGGCTCCCAGTGTCCCCACTGGCTGTGGAATGCTGGGGCAGGATGAGGCCAGGGTGCTTTCCCTCCCTGCCAAGACGCTGTGGGCACCCCTCGACCCCGAGGCGTACCAGGGGGAACTGGTGGGAGATCTTGCCATCGGGTGGGAGTTTGGCAACACGTGCCCGTCCGGGGGGATCTTGGCTCCGAAGCCCAGGGCTGGGAACATCTTGTCGCTGTCGTAGTCCTGGATGATCTCCCCCACCGCCTTCAGCGCCAGGGCGTAGGCGCTCAGCTGGTAGGGGCTCGCGTAGTGCAGCGAGGTGGGCTGCGACGGCATCCC